CCTCTAGCCTGTTCCTCAGATAGTGGGTTATTTTTGCGGGTTGTAAGTCGTAACCATGCATCTTTTTTTAAGGATTGAGGTAATTGGTCAAGCAAATTCTTATAGTGTTCATTGAAATATGGTTGGCCAGACATATAGTACCTTCGGTAAAGTAATATTAATCGAAAAAAATAATCCAAAAGTTCAGAAATTTAATTTTTTTTCATATTTTTTCAAAAGTTTGGGTACTTCATTTAATTTTCAACAATAATTTCCGCCTAAAATTGACTAAAATTTGCCGAAGCCTAGTTTTCAGAAAAAAAAAACTAAGAATATTCATAGAAAATTTCTCCTAAACACTTACTTTATTAATAATATAACTTATAAAAAATACATGTATTGATACAGAGATAAAAAATAAATATATATATCGGAATATAATCCAAATACATGAAATTTCTATACTAAATTGTTAAAATACATAATAAACAAAATCGGGCCTTAGCCCAAGAATAGTTAAAAAAATATACATGATTCCCCTTTATGGGGATGAAATTGTTGAGCTATCTTCCATTTGTCTGCGTGATGTTGATGAAGGCGCATGGTATAGTAAAGACATATTGACGATGATAATATTCTAAAAATCAGAATCGCATTAGATAATATTTCTCTGGCTAAAAGAATATTTATAGCCAATGTGAATAACAAACCCGTAAAATAAGCAAAGTCTTTACAAAATTTGCCAAGTCATATTCTTCCATAGGGCGTACAGGGATCTCGGCCGAGTGTAAATGATAATAACGATGTATCACATCCTCACCTCTTGTGATAACATTTAAATGTATTTTCCGCCCTACAAAGTTCTGTATTATTAAAAAAAAATCTCATGAAATATGGATCGTGAAAAATATAAGGAAATTATTTTACCGGCAACCTGGATTCCAACTATTCCAAATTGCTCCTTTTCCGGTTTACATCCTTTTCGAGCCCAGTATAATCCATCATTAATCTCTCGCCATAATTTTATCATGTCATCCAATTCTTTTCGTTTAGTACAAGACAACCGCGAGCATTTGACAAACATAAGTTCATAAACTTTCTTATTATATTTAAACTCGAACATCATGTCTGGTCGTCTTCCCATTTGACCATCGCCCTTTCTATCAGCACTGGCGATACTTTGTCGTTCTGATATACTAATGAATGCAGTCTTCCCAAAAGGAAGATTTTTCAAAGCGGATCTGATTGCTGGTATAATCACATTTGTCACATAAGTGCCTTCATTAAGCGAATCTTCAAAATCTGGTCCAAACGCCGGATTGTTCCAGACATCGCTCCTATTAATAATGAATCAATAATATATACATAATAATATTTTTCCTTGTTATTACTTACAATGTATCAAGAATATTAGTCGTAATTCTAGCGAGTATCTCTACTGACTCTTTCCAAGAACTATCGTGCTTTAGTTTATCAGGTAAACTTTCTGTTCGATATTCATTGAAGTTTGCTATAAATCTTCTACATGTTTCTCGAATTATCGCTAAATTTGGAGGTATCATTCGACGTGACGGTTTCTAGTAAAGAGAGCTGAATTAGAAACTTGATTGTTATAATTCTCAAAATTTATAAAGTACTTACTAAGAAAGTATTTTGTATTTTCTGCGGAAGATTCTGAACTAAGCCTGAATCGTCACTAATAACTCTACTAGCAAGTGGATCTCTCCATGAAAGATTAGAAGCAGTAATTGATCTCAATCCAAGTATTAATTCATTAGAAAGTGAGGATTGTTTTCTCTATAACAGAATAATCAGTAAATAAAGAATTTAGTCCTGAGAACATTATCTGCAAATGCTTACCGAAAGTTTCGATCTCATATTATTCAAGTTTGCGTCAATTTGTTCTGAGATAAGAGGTTTCTCTTTATTCACTTTCATAACTCCGATATCCCGTAAGCTACAAACGCCTTCAAAGGACACATCAAACTATGGTAATGATAGATTGAGTTATTATTTCCATAAACAAAATCACCTTTCCAAAAATTAACACGCGCGCCGTCAGCTGTCGTAGGAAAAATTATTGTCTTCGCGGGGCCCTCACGTCGACGATAACTTTTGCATAGTACATAGTACAATAATAACCACATATGGATAAAGCATAATGCTACAATATATTCACCCTCCATGCGTCCGAGGGAAATAGTTATCCCTTAATTGCAGGCTATTAGAATGTCTAAACTGTTATGCTCACTATTTAGGAAGTACTAAAGCTACGACAAATCATCATTCTATCCAAAGAATATTTTTTAGGTTCGTTTTATAAGGACTCACCTGAAGAGGTATTCCAAGGAATTTTTGTTGATGTTCTGAACCTTGGGTATAAAGATTCATTGCCGACGAAATTGCTTGATGAACCACTCCTCTCAAGTCTTCTTTCGAAATCCATGGATCTTCCTCTATTCCTTGATAGATAACCGAGGTGGCAGTAATGTATTCTTGCTTAGCAGTTGCTAAAAAATTGTAAATTTTCGAGTATAGTTCAGAAGACATAGTTTTATGTTATTAATATAGAATAAGCGACCTGAACATAAATTTCCCATACTGCCCTTTTAAATACCACCATTTCTCATTCTCTTCATGTTGTGGAAAAAGAGATAGGAGTGATACTTTACGCCAATTTTTTTTGAGAATAAGGGCAAGCGGAATGTGCATTGAAGATCTCAACATTACATCATATATATTTTAATGAGGATCGAAAACATGCTAATTTATGTCGCACATGCATTAGCCTTGAGTCGCTTCACATGACTGGACAATATATTATTT